ATTTTTCCAGCCCCCGTTTCAATTACAAGGGTTTTATAACATGTTCATATCTAATTAAGGCTATCCAATCCAAATTGCTCTTCTTTTTCTGGATTCCCCTGGATAGCGCTGGTTTTGGTTTTGACTTTCTATGTGAGCTTCATAATTTACTTGCTCAGGTGCAGCAAAAATTTAAATCTCTTAGAATGTGTATTGGAATCCATTAAAATGGTAACGTAACATAGGAAAATAATGGTCTTTCAAATGTTGCTGATGTATCTTATCCAAGTTTCCCATTTTATTTGGTATAATTTTAAATATGTCCAATGTGTTTTAAGTTTGACTTCTTATATAGATTGTGCACGCTAACGTTGTGCCTTGCTTGTTTTACTCTTTGCTGTTATTGTAATAAAGTCTTCTGTCCCATAACAATTCTTAACTTGTTATTGTTTGCATGTGTGGCTAGCAGGGTGGCCCAGGGGTCATAGCTTATTGACCCCGACATGGTAGGGAGCTCAGGTGGAGGAGGGCGTTGTTCATTGAGCTGGTAACCACCAGGTCAGCATTGGGAGTCCTCCAGCTGCTCAAGGGGAGAAAGACAAGGCTGTCTCCACCTGTAAAGACCTCGTCTCAGCAACCCAAAGGGGCACGGTGACTCAGATAGCAGTGAGCTTATTAGGCTAACAATTTCTGCATGTTCGCTTGTATCCTCATAATTCATTTCATTCTCTTTTTGCTCTTAGAGTGTGTTTCATTGAGTTTCTTGAGATTGCTAGATGTGCAATCATGCTGTCTACAAATAGAGATCATTTAATATCGTTCTTTGGGATTCTTATTCCTCTACTTGCTGTGTCTTTTTTGGTTGCGTAGGCTAATGTCTCAGACAAGATGAAAGATAATGTAGCAATTTCATTAATGGAAACAGTGTTTAATGAGAAGCTTCAAATGTAAGGGTCAATAAGCTTTGACCCCTGGGCCAAACCTGCTCACTGCCTATAATCTGAGCGTGTCTTTTATCTTTTTAAGTGGCTGGGGAAGGGGAGTGGGTAGGAATAATATTCATAGCACATGAAAGTATATGAAATTCAGATTCCAGTGCGCATAATTAAAGCTGTATTGGAGTAGGGTCTTTCATCCTACAACTGCAGAGCTGAAGTGGCAAAGCCTAAAATAGGCACTAACTCAGCAGTTCTCAACCTGTCGCCTAAAACCATCGGAAAACATAAATATTTCACAATCTATAATTACATATTGTTTTGTGATTAATCACTATGCTTTAATTATGTTTAATTATGTTCAATTTGTAACAATGGAAATACACCCTGCATATCAGATATTTATATTATGATTCATAACAGTAGCAAA